CACCTTTACTGGCCCCATCCCCGCCTCTTCAACCTGTTTGTTTCCTCTCCACCTATCCTCCCCTCTGTCCATCTTCTATCCGCCTCCCACTCTCTCCCTATTTATTTCAGAACCCCCTTCCCCTCCCCCTTTTCTGATCAAGGGTCTAGGCCCGAAACGTCAGCCTCTCTGCTCCTATGATGCTGCTTGGCCTGCTGTGTTCATCCAGCCCTGCACCTTGTTGTCTTGGATTCACCAGCATCTGCAGTTCCAACTATCACTATAGATGGACATAGTAGGAACTGCAGATGCTGGAGAATCTGAGATAACATGGTATAGAGCTGAATGAACACAGCAGGCCAAGCATCTTCTATCCGCCTCCCCCTCTCTCCCTATTTATTTCAGAACCCCCTTCCCCTCCCCCATTTCTGAAGAAGGGTCTCGGCCTGAAACGTCAGCCTTTCTGCTCCTCTGATGCTGCTTGGCCTGCTGTGTTCATCCAGCTCTACACCTTGTTATCTCACTATAGATGGAATAGCCTAACATCTATTGTTGGAAAAACAATGGTATCAATTATTAAGGAATTAATAGCAGCACATTTGGAATTCAGAGTCTAATAAAGTACAGTCAGCATGGTTTCATGAAAGGAAGATCTGGTTTTCTGAATTTGTGCCTGTACTATTCCTACTTCATATGGTCTTATGGTCCAACAACACTCATGAAACTTGATGCAATTCAAGAAAAAAAAAAACAGCCTACTTGATTGGCACCACATACATCGCTCCCTCCACCATCGATGCTCAAGAAGAATGCAGCTCACCGCAAAGGCAACTAGAGAGAAGCAATTAAATGCTGGCCCAACCAGCGATGCCCACAACTCATGAACGATTAATAAAAACACTCCTAGGACAGTCCAACATGGAGTTAGATACGGAGCAAAGATTCTTCTAAATACCCTATCAAACACCCATCAAGAGGGCACAGCATGAATAAGGTAAAGAAATTAGTTTCCCTGGAGTTGACTTTACATTCCCTCCCAGTTAGCTAGAGCTCTTGAAACACCACTGAAACACTATGGGGTATTTACGAATTCTGAAGCTTGTCAATTGAGCCTTTGAAACCCAGGCATTTAACCCCTATGGTCCTTGTATCACAGACACCCGTTGGTCTTCAACTTAACAAACATCATCTCATAACTGAGCAAAGTGAACATACCTCATGGAAGCCATGCACCGTCAGAATGCTACGTACCAGCCTGCTCTCGGTGCGTACAATCTTGTACGCCAAGTGATAGCGTTCTACAAGAAAAGGAACACATTACAATCAATGAAATCTGACACAGTTATATGACTGCATTAATTAATGCTAATTCAGCCTTAGGTTTTATCACAGGAAGCAATGACGCTTCAGTGACTTGGCCTCCACAATCTCACGTGAGAGAATTCCAGAGTCACTATTCACTTAGTAAAGAAATTTCTCTTCATTTCAATCTTAAAATGGCCAATCCTGTATCAAGAGAGCATGGCCTTTGCTCTGGATGACCTTGCTGGGGAATATGCAAACAACTGAGCATTAGTGAAACATTATCCCAACATCCAATCTGAACAACTCTTACTGAATTTTTAAAATTTCAAGAAGATCCACTCCCATTATTCCAAACTCCAGTGAATACTCCTGTCATAAAACAGATCTGTCATCCCAGGAAGCTAGTGAACTTTTGCTGCACTCCCTCTATATTCTTTCCTGGACAACAAAGATCAAAACCGCACACAATTATCCAGATGTGCTCTCACCAAGGACCTGTTAAGCTGCATTAAGGTCCCCTTGCACTGAAGGCTAACACACAATTTGCCTTCTGCACCTGCATGCTTGCTTTCAGTGACAGGTGTACAAGGACACCCACATCCCTTTGTGTACCAACATTTCCCAATCTATCACAACTGCAATCATTCTCTTGTTTTTCCTACAAGTGGATACCTGCATACTTACTCAACTTGTCTAAATTGCCTTTAAGATTCTTTACAATCTCCATACTACTCACATCCCACCTGGCTTTATGTCATAATCAAGCTTGAAAGTAACACATTTTATTCCCGCATCCAAAATCATTGAATATACTGCAAATATATTGATCTGATCCTACTGTTCATCATCTTCCACATTGGAGGAAATGGATTACATAGGTGAATGGCTTTTTCCTAATGTGTGGTTTCTTCTAGAATTACAATGGGTTTTATTATCACATCAATGTAGTGAAAAGTTTACAAAGTCACCGCTTACAGCTCCATCTTAGGTACAAAAGGTTCCTAGGTATGGAATCTTTAAAAAAACTAGAAAAATCAAATAAGAAGTTCAACATTGCAATCCTTGAAGCAGACTGCACCAGAACCTCACCTCCAGACCGTGCCTGGACCTCACCTCTGTGACCCAATGAGTCCCTGCTGTGGTCTACCACAGCCCCGCTACAGGCACTAAGCTATGCCACAGCCAACGGTCCGCTGAGTTCCTGAGTCCAGGCTCTGGGCCTACTGAGGCCAGGAGTCCTTGATCCCACCACTGCTGCTGCCAAAGACCCTCCAACACCACTCAGCTTCCCACAAAGTCAAAAGAAAGAAAGAAAAAGTAGGAAACGGAGAGAGAGAGAAGAGAGAGAGAGAGGGAGGGATAAGACTGGCCCCTAACATTCCCTACTATGCCGGCGCCACCATCTTGGCTTAACAAGGACAGTTGTGATTTGATTTGATTTATTATTGTCACATGTACCCAGGTGCAGTGAAAAGTTCTGTTTTGCGTGCAGTACAGGCAAATCATACCGTAGAAAGTGCATAAGGGTAATAGAACAGGGCAAGGAATACAATGTTAGGCTGCACAGAAGGTGCACCGAGACCAAGGTCAACGTTAGATTTGAAATTTGAGAGGTCCATTCAGAAGTCTAACAACAGCAGGGAAGAAGCTTAATTGAATGTGTTGACATGTGTGTTTTAAGTTTTTGTATCCTCTGCCTGACAGAAGAGGTTGGAACAGATTATAACTTTGGGGGGTGTCGTTTGATTATGTCGGCTGCCTTTCTCGCGCAGCGAGAAGTATAGAGGGAGTCAATGGATGGAAGGTTGCATAGATGAGATGCATAGAAAGTTAACAGGCCGAATCTTTTTCCCAGAATTGAAGTGTCCAATACAAGGTGGCATGCATTTAAAGTTAGAGGGGGAAAATTCAAAGGAGACATGAGGGGTAAGTTGTTTTTTTATTACACAGAGAGGTAGGAGTCTGGAACACACTGCCAGGGGTGGTGGAGGTGGAGGTGGAGGGAGATACAATAGGGACATTTAAGGGACTTTTAGATAAGCACATGGACATGCAAGGAATGGGGGGGATATGGACTAAAGACAGGCAGAAGTGATTCATTTCACTTGACATCATGATGGGCACAAAATTGTAGACCAAAGGGCCCATTCCTGTGCTGTACAGTTCTATGTTCTAAGATTGGCTTGCACGATGGACTGGGCTGTGTTCACATCTTTCTGTAGTTTCTTACGGTCCTGGGAGAGGAATTGCCATAACAAGCCACGATACATTCAGATAGAATGCTTTCTATGGTGCATCTATAAAATTGGTAAGAGTCTTTATGGACATGATGAAATTCCTTAGCCTCCTGAGGAAGTACAGATATCGTTGTGCTTTCTTGACCACCGCATCAACATGGGTAGACCAAGACAGATTATTGGTGATTATCACTCCTAGGAACTTGACGATATTGACCATCTCTACCTCAGCTCCACTGGTGTGGATAGGGGTGTGCCCTCCACCTTGCTTCCTTAAGTCAATGACCAGTTCTTCAGTTTTGCTGACTTCGAAGGAGAGATTGTTACCTTCACACCACATCACCAAGTACTCTAACTCTTTCCTGTATTCTTTCTCATCATTGTTTGATATCTGGCCTACAATGGTAGTGTTGTCAGCGAGCTTGCAGATGGAGTTAGGATAAAACTTGGCCACATGTTCATGTGTACAGCGAGTAAACTAAGGGGCTGAGTACGCAGAGTTGCAGGGCGCTGGTGTTGAGGATTATCGCGGAGGAGGTGCTGTTGCCTATTCTCACCAAATGCAGTCTGTTGGCCAGGAAGTCAAGGATCTAGTTGCAGACGGCACAGCAGAAACTAGGTCTCAGAGTTTGAAGATTAGTTTAGTTCAAATTATAGAGTTGAAGGCAGAGCTGTAGTCATCGAGTAGGAGCTTGATGTAGGTATCCTTGTTATCCAGATATTCCAGGGATGAGCATAGGGGCAGGGAGATGGCATCTGCCATGGACCTTATTGTATTCCTCAGGGCTTAGAATCCTATACAAAGTCGGAACGAAAATAAAGTAGGCACAAAAGATTAAAAGGAAGAGGTCAAGAAGATTAAAGCCATGGTCAAAGAGATTTCTGATAAGGAGGCTTTGAAATACAGAGATACAAGTATCAATGTGAACTATCCTTTTCAAATATGTTGTAGCTTTTGACAGTGGAACAAATCTTAATTTAGAAATGCTTATGATGTTCAAGAAATATACACAGGGACCCACATGAAAGTTATAAAGGTGGCAATATTCAAAATATTAAAAGTGTTGATAGATTACATCAATTCACTGCTCAATGAAGCTACTAACAGTTTCTCAAACTAAAACTCCACACAAATATACACTGTCCACAAATATTGCATTAATAGGATGAATCTGACTCTAGAGCTTGCTTTTCTTATTCTGGAGAAGTCTTCTGCAAATTATAGACAAAGACACCTTAGCTCACTCTGACAAGTATCTGATTAATCAGACTTCACAGTAATCCTACATACCTCCAATTAAGCGTAAGGTGCTGTCCTTCGTCACAATGCCGTCTGCATAGAAAACCAAGATAGGTACCATCTGATTGATGCCTGTCCACTGAATGCATGGGTGGTCACTAAAACATAAAATTCATTTCAGAATAATGCAAACTTCCTCCATTAAAAATCCCACCCTCATCCCCCAGGAATAAACAGACGAGGAGGCCATTCAATCCATCACATTACCTCTTCAATTGGAATTTTTCACTCTAATTCCATCTCTGTCTTTGCTCCACATACTTCCAAAGTTCTTCCTCAGAACCAAAGATTTTATAGGACAGAGAGAAGTGATTTGGCCTTTTGAATTTGTCCCGGCTCATGTCTGTTGTCACTTAATACTAACATCACAACCACGTTGCTCATTTAGATGTGTTATTTAGTCTTCCCCGAAAAGATACAATGGTCTCTGCTTCAGTTACCTCCTATAAGAAAAACTTGCCATGCTCCAACACCTAATAAAATTTCCTCTTTTCACATAGTCATGCTGCTTGAGAACTGCAGCAGACAGTTTCTTCACTCTCATTGAGTCAAAGCCCCAGAGCTTGCTCCCCAACAGCATTGTGGGTCTACCTACAGCACATTGGCTAGAAACATAGAAGATGCAAGCAGTAGGCCGCCATTCGTCCCTTCAAGCCTGATCGTCCAACTCAATGGTCTAATCCTGCTTTCTCCCCATAGTGCCATATCTAGCCACCTCTTGAATACATTCAATGTTTTGGCATCAACTACTTCCTGTGGTAATGAATTCCACAGGCTCACCACTCTTTGGGTGAAGAAATGTCTCCTCATCTCCATCTTAAATGGTCTACCCCGAATCCTCAGACTGAGACCTCTGGACACACCAACCATTGGGAACATTCTCCTTGTCTCTTCTCTGTCTAGTCCTGTTAGAATTTTGTAAGTCTTTATGAGATACCCCTCAATCATTTGAACTCCAGTAAAAATAATCTTAACCTAGTCAATATCTCTACAGCAGTTCAAGAAGGCAGCTTACCACCACCTTCTCAAAGGCAATTAGGAATGGGCAATAAATGCTGGCGCAGCCAGCAACCCCCATATTCCATGAGTGACTGAAGAAAAGACAAGCTTAACATGAAGAAGAAGTGCAAAATTATCCAAGACAAATCAAAATATTTTCTTATTAGCAAGAGTCTCAGATCTCAAATAATTGAGCCATTATGACAAAGGAGCTGGTTATTCAGCAGGTTCCAGCTCACTACCATTCCCTACATAAAATTGTTCTTCCTTATGTCCACTAGAATTCCAAGTCCAAAACTTAAATTTGTGTTCCCTTGTCCTTATACTATCAGCGAATGGAGACAACCCTCCTCCAAAGCAGTTACAATCCTGCATACATCTATCAAATCTACTTCCAATCTCTATACTTCCAATCCCTTGCTTTTCCAATACAAACTTGTTGCTAAAATCATTCATTTCTGGAAACTATTCTGATGAATCTCCTTTGCACCCTCTGAAGGGTGCTCATATGCTTCTTAAAGTGCAGGACTAGAACCAGGCCTAGTGCTCTCATTCAGGCCTAACATAACTTCCCTGTTTTTGTACTCAATTTCTCTACTTATGAAAACCAAGATTGAATGCACTTTGCAAATCGTTCTCTCAATATGTTCTACCACCTTCAAAAGATTAATGCACATAAGCATCAAAAAAAAAGTCGAGGAACAACAGTCTACCATCCTCCAGACCAAAAAATATCACTTCCCAAAACTAATGGCTTTCTGTCATTATGCAAAGTTTTTTACGAAACCAACATTGACTTATCTATTCCACAAGGCTCAATTTTGTGCTCTAGCCTTTTATGTGGAACTGTGCCAAAGCCTTGCTTAAAATCCATTGCATTCCCTTCATCAACCTTTCTACTACTCTAAAAACAGAAATCAATTGGATTAGTCAAGCACAATCTGACTTTTCCAAGTCTATGATAAAGATAACAAGATGTAGAGCTGGATGAACACAGTAGGCCAAGCAGCATCAGAAGAGCAGGAAGGCTGACGTTTCGGGCCTAGACCCTTCTTCAGAAATGTTGGGTCTCCTTAACTAACTCAAACCTCTCCAACTTACTAATGATTATCACTGGAACCCCATGGTGCTGTTCTGGAGACAAAGATTTGAATTCTACCATGGCAGAGGAATTGGCTTTCAGCCCATCAAACCTTTCCTGCTGTTCAATACAATCATGGCTGGTCAAACACTTCAAATGACTCCACCCACTCCAACCCCAAAATGTTACTGGTAATCAGAAGTCTATCAATCTCCACCTTAAACATATTCAAAGATTGAGCCTCCATAGCCCTCTTTCACAGAACTGAGTAAAACTAAAATTCTCCTCATCTCAGACTTGGCATTTCCTTTTATTTTTAAATTGTGCCCCTGGCTGTCGGCTTCACAACCAGGGGAAATAATCTTACTTGCATCAACTTGAAAACCAACATCCCAATCATTTCTCTCCACGCAAAGGGTAGTGAAAATTAGAAATCTCTCTTTCCCCAAAAAGACTGAGAACTGCCTGAGTCAATGGAAGCTTTCAAGGTAATGATCAATAAATGTATAAAAGGGCAAGGTTATCAAGGGCTCCTGGTAATGGAAAACCCTAAAATTATTTCAACAGAGAGAAGGTCGATGAATTAAAATTGGCTAATAATATTTCTCAAGCGCAATTATCAAGAAAATTGATCAAAGCACAGTCTAAACCTTTTCAGCATTTTCTTCTCCCTAGTTCTCTAGCTCTTTAGGTGATTTGGGTAGAGTGTGCTGGGCACGGGGTTGGGGTCTGGTAGCAATAGAAGAGAACAACTCCAATGTTTTTTTTTAAAAATGTTCTTGAATCCCATGCAAAGAGACCATCTCAAGGTAGCAATCAAGTACAGGATCCCCAACTGGCCTGCTTCTCTCAGGAGCCCAATAACACTGGGGCCAGTTGTTATGAAAGGTCTTATAAAAGCTAAGAGATGAGGCAAGAGTGGATATTGCACTGCTGGAAAATGAGGCTGGAGAAATAGTAATGGGGACCAAAGGAATGGCAGAGGAACTGAACAGGCACTTTGCATCAGTCTTCATGATGGAAGACAACAGTGATATACCAGAACTTCAAACAAGTCAGGGGATAGAGGTAAGTACAGTAGCCATTACTAAGGTTAAGGTGCTTAGGAAGCTGAAAGATGTGAAGTTGGATAAATCAAACAGAAGGACTATACACCCTTGGAGAAAATAGTTGAGGATATTGTGGAGGCATTATTGTGGTGATCTTTCTGGAGTCAGGGAGGGCCCCAGAGAACTGAAAAATGGCAAATGTAACATCCCCGAGGAGGTGGAAGATGGGAAATTACAGCCGGGGCTCGGTCGCTGGTAAGATTTTGGAGTTGTTACAAAGTTGCGTAGAATACTCATGAATTGGAAGGCAGGAAGTTAGAACTTGTTTGTGGAAAAGATAGAGGGGAAAAGCAGTTCCTGGTCCCTTTAAAAGATTGTGCTTTGTCTGTGCTCAGAAGTTTACAAGTACTTTACGGACAGTCCTAAAATGAAACAAGTGTTTCAAAAGGCCTTACAGTTGGCAGGCAAAACAGCAGTCTTGTTTTGATGTTTTGACAAAAAGCTGGACTCAGCCAATTAATTGAAATCAAGCACTCAGCAACTGAAAGCCAATTGAATTTAAAACTGATTGATCTCAGGTTGTCAAAACAATCATATTATAAGAAACTGATGAGTCATGGAGGGGGGATAATACAAGAGGGTTTTTGAAAATCGGTGCGACGGCCAACTGCCATCTGAAGTGAAAGTAAATCCGCCAACTGAGAAATAAATCTAGCTCTCACACAATATCATTAAGCTCTCTAAAAAAGAACACCAAAGGTACCATGGCACTTTAGCCAAGAGTCCTCACAGAAGAAATTACAGAGAAAACATCCTTGACACCAAGATCAGCAGAAAAATGGCTGGAGAGACAGTGGAGAAGGCAAAGCAGTCCCGAAGGCACATTCGGTGTAAGCTTTGAGAGACTAAGTTTTAATTTATTGTTTTCTTATTACTTGGATTTTTACAGGTGGGATCTGTGTTTATTGGAACAGCATACAATTAGAATCTTGTTGTATTAGAAAATAGTCAGTAGTTACAGACGAATTGTTCAGTTAGTTAGTAGTTCTGTTAATTTGTTCACTGTTAGGGTTAAATAAATAATTAGTTACTTGTTGCTTATAAAGTGAGCATCAGGGATTCCTTTCATTTAACTATTCTTTTAACAGATTACGAGGGGCAAGGTGAGCTTCTCTGGGTGTTTCAGATAACAGATTGGGGCTGGTGTTTCAGGTTAATTAGAAGAGTTCGACCTTCCCCTTCTCCATAACAGATTAAAAATGAGATTGTGGTGCACTTGGAAGTACAAGGTAAAATAGGGCTGAGTCAGCACAGCTTTGTTAAGGGGAAGTCATGCCTGACAAATCATTTTGAATTCTTTGAGGAGGTAAAGAAGAGCCATTGGAAACGATCTATTTGAATTTCCAGAAAGCCTTTGACAAGGTGTCATATTGGAGGCTGCCAAGAAAAATAAGAGCCCATGATGTTAGGAGCAAGGTGCTGGCATGGATAGAGGTTTGGCTGACTGCCAGAGCCAGAGAGTAGAGATAAAGAGGTCTTTTTCAGGATGACAGCTGGTGACTAGTGGAGTTCCACAGGAGTCCACAACCATTTGCTTTCTACATTAACAATCCAGATGAAAGAACTGAGGGTATTGTTGCAAAGTCTGCAGATGACATAAAGACAAATGGAGGGACAGGAAGTGTTGAGGATGCAGGAAGACTGCAGAAAGACTTGGACAGGCTACGGGAGGGAACAAAAGAAGTGGCAGACAGAATACAATGTGGCAAAGTGTGAGGTTATGCACGCTGGTAATAAGAAGAGGCATAAACCATTTTCTAAATAGGGAAAGGCTTCAGAAATCTGAAGTACAAAAGGGACTTGGAACTCTAGTTCAAGATTCTCTCAAGATTAACACGCTGGTTCAGTCAGTAGTTACGAGGGAAAATGAAATGCAAGCATTCATTTTGAGAGGACCGGAAATATAA